TTCGCGGGAGCCGATTTTGCATTCGTGAGGCTTTGGTTACTGAAACCAGCTTAGACTTGAACTCATTGCACATTCGGTAGCTCATGACCTCCTTCTGGGAATATGTCGATGAAAACAGGGTGCGCCTTATTTCTTTTTCGAATAAAGTCGCCTTTTGACGCGCTGAATTCAGGAAATCAGCGAAGGCAAGCTCCTCATCGACGCTGCGAAAGCCGCGGGTGTTTCGCGCATCGTCTGGTCCGGCCTGCCGTCCATCAGCAAAGCCAGCGGCGGTAAATACGTGCATGTGTACCACTTTGACGCGAAGGCCGCCGTCACCGAGTACGGTTACCAGTGTGGCGTTCCCTTTGTCGACGTTCAAGCCGGGTTCTACGGAACCAATTTCCTTACCATGCCCTTGATGCTGAAAAAGCAAGAGGACGGATCGTTCACTGTTCCTTTCCCAAGCAAACCCACCACCCTTGCTCCGTTCATCGACGCCGCCGCAGACTACGGTCTCTTTGTACGCCATGCGCTTGAGCTCCCGGTCTTCCCCGCCGGTTCCAGGATTGTCGCATATGGCGAGAAAATTAGCTTTAGTGATATGGCGCAGCAGCTTGGCAAAGGTACTCAATTCGGCACTCGGCTTTTCGCCGCGATATCCACTGAAACTCCAACAGCGACTGGAAAGAAGATCGTGTTCGAGGAAATATCCGCCGAGCAGCACAAGCAGAACGTCGCAGCCATGGGACTGCCCCAGAAGATTGAGCTGATCATGACAGAATCCTTCCTGTCGTCGGCAGAGTTTGAATGTATGTCCTTTCGTGAATTGCTTGGAACGCAGATTGCTGATACCCCGTGGATAGGGTGGGAGCCCGCGCCTCCTCACGAGGGCTTGCCGAGACGCGCACGTACTTGGGCCGAATTTGCGCAGGCCACAGACTGGAGCAAAGCCCTGGCCTAGTCATTCAATATCTGAAAACACAAGTAGATTTACTCGTCCAAATTTATGATCTTTATTCGAGACTTTGACTGTTGTGTGGTTGTTCGGCGCGATATCCTGACTTTATGGAAGCCGTCCTCCGCTGTGGAACACACTCCATGTTACTCATGAGCTTTTAGTCAACGTTGGAAGGCCGACCGTGCCGCAATCCGCACTGCTGGATAGTTGCAGACCTCACACATTCTTTCATTCAAATTAAATTAACTTGAGCGCATCCGAAGGTCTGGCTATGTACTTACACAGAAAGATTACCATTCTCTTCCGCCGTGCCGTGTCGCCACGATTCCTGTCGTTGCCCTTGTATTGGACGGCAATTCCGGTCCCGTGTTGAACTTTTGGCGCCCTGTTGGGCTTCCGAGTGCTTTCCGTTGAAATCCGCAGCCTCCGCAGCGGGCTAATAGAGGAAGATCATTGTCCGGTGGAACTGCACAAGGATCTCAGCTTTTTCAAGCGCTCCAGTGGTCGTTGAGAGAGAGAGAAACATGACGTTTTGCGATGCTACTGGGGTTACACGACAGACGTAAAATTGTGTTTTCCTCCACCACAGAAATACTACACCATCTCTTGGCTACTAGTAGGAAGCTCCACAGCGGGTAGTCCGACGTCGCTGCGGATTGACGGCAAGTACCATTGGACGCTGAACACAATAGTTGTTTATCAGATAAACCTGCCGGGGTTGCGTGGAGCCTTCGGCGTCGGTCCAAAAGTGGCTCGAAGGTTGAAAATAAGTGTGGATGTGTGTATAAAAACCCTCTTGTCGCGCCTCTTCCTCCATAATCCCCTAACCCACCAAACCAACCAACCCAACCAGCGGCCAGTCCAATGACGACTTTCAGCTCAGCCGACCTCGACGTCTGGACGCGTTCGGACCAATACCACAACTCCTTCCTCCACAAGCCCGACGCGGTCCTCGACTCGGTGGCGAAGAACACCAAGGACAATGGCATCCGTCACGAGATTGCCGTGAGCCCCGCGCAGGGCAAGTTCCTCCACCTACTTCTCTTGTCCGTCCGCGCCAAGCGTGTGCTGGAAGTCGGGAGTCTTGGAGGGTGAGTTGGATTATTCAACCACTGGCGTGATAATTTTGGGAGCCGATTCCACGGACCAGATATTCCACGATCTGGATGGCGAGGGCTCTCCCCGATGACGGCCAGGTCGTCGCACTTGAACTTGAGAAGCTACACGCGCAGGTAAGCCGTAATTCTGCCTTCGAATATCAGCTTGGTCGTTGACTTCCCTCCAAGGTGATCGAGGAAAACGTCGCGAACGCCGGGCTTTCTTCCAAGGTGAAAGTGGTCGTCGGGCCGGCGCTCGACTCCCTCAAGGCCATGCACCCTTCAGCCGCCACTCCGAAATTCGACCTCGCTTTCATTGACGCGGACAAAGAGAACAACACCAACTATTTTATCGAGGCGAAGCGGCTTGTGCGCAGCGGTGGCATCATCGTGTGTTCAGATTCTAATCCAATGTCAACTTGGGAACTCAATGCATCAGGACAGATTGTTGACAACGTCGGCTGGTTCGGGGGCCCCGTTGACTCGAACGACACGCGCTCGACCACCGAGGGTGTCCGAGAGCTTTTGCGGTACATCAAGGACGACACCGAGGTGGAGGCAACGACAATCCACACGGCAGGAGAGAGAGGGTTTGACGGCTTCTTGTACGCTTTCCGTAAATAGGTAAACGAGCTGGCCAGTACTAGTCGTGAAAGCCTGGATTGGATAGTCAAAGTTTGTTATGATTAGTCTCCTGTAACACATTGAAAGTGAACAAATCGTTGGTTCTGGCGCAAGTTCAAAGCATAGCGAAGAGACAAAGCAACAATGGATTTTTTGGGCCCTGTAGAGGCACAAGCTTTTAATCGAAATACCGTCCACCATCCGCCGAGATCTGAGCCAGCGGTCAGGGAAAGCACAAGCGTGCACATATCACTCACCGATTGTCCTGCCCGATGATGTTCAACAACAGTAACATGTTCAAACGAAATGTAAAGACTCACCAGTGATGAACGTCGCTTCCTTGGACGCGAGGAACGAAACCACGCTTGCGATGTTTTCCGGGGTCGGGTTCACGCCCGTTGCCGCCGACTTCGCTTGCTGGAGGTTCGAATATATATATCAGCAGGCATTTCGATGTGAATTTTCAGAAAGCATAAGTACCATAGCGAAAAAGGCCTCCTGGTCCATGCCCAGCTGCGGGCCGAATAGATCAGCCAAGTGTTGAGCTATACAGGGTTGGATGAATATTTATTGACAGGCGTCCGAGGTAATTGGATCGCACTCATAGCGGTTATGACGGCGCCTGTGGAAATGGCAGTCAGTATCGCATGGACCTTGAGAAAATAAGAGCGAAACACACCTGGCGCGTATGCGTTGACAGTGATTCCGTGTTTACCAAAGTCCAATGCTGAGTAGGGATTATTAATTCGCGGATGAGGCTCTATTCAAGGACACACACCGGCAGCCTGTGTCAATCCGCGCACGGCAAACTTGGAGGTTGAATAGTCCGGAATACCCGGATGCGCTACGAAACAGTATCATCCATGAGAGAATATGCACGAACACGAGAAGATTCTGAGAAGAAGGGAACAGGAGGAAGGGCACGCACCCTGTTTGCCGGAGCCTGAACACGCGCCGATTATGCGGCCGCCTCGACCCTGCAGGATCATCTGCTTGGCCGCGTGTTTGTAGCACAGGAACGTCCCGCGGACGTTTATTGCGAAGGTGCGGTCCCAGTCCTCCGGCTCAACTGCGTGCGATGGATGAGCAAGTTCATGAAGTTCACTTGAATTGTTGGACGCACTGTCGAGGAGCGAAGCACGGGCTGGGCAGATCCCCGCATTGGCGACCATCTACAAAGTGATCCAGAGGTTAAAGCAACAAGCGGCGATAAAAGAGGAGGCACTGACGACATCCAGCCCGCCCAAAGCAGACACTACGCCCGCGACCATGGCTTTGACATCGGCATCGACAGAGACATCACCTGTGAAAACCGCAGAGCGGCGTCCGGCCGCGACGACCTCCGCTTTGAGCGCTTCCAATAGGGCTGCTTTGGACGGGATGTCGTTGACGGCGACGTCGAATCCGTCGGCGGCGAGCCGCAGCACGATGGCTTTACCGATCCCTTGTGCCGCTCCGGTCACCAGTGCGATTCCTTTAGATCCAGGGCTTTGTTGGGAGGACATGACGGATGGGTCAATAGAGTACTGGCTGTAACGCTACAGGTCACCCCGGCTGGCAACGATCGAGTTGATTGAACGATGGCTTACACTTTGAGTCGCTATAAGCGCCGGTGTAGAGGGGGAGAAGGAGGGGGAGAGGATAAACGGAGTCCCTGTAATGTAGGGTTAAACCGACACCGTGTCTGTCTTTGCCGTGCACAACGTGTACATCGAGTATCAGATTGACCCAAGATTGACCTCGCTCTGTGTCGCGGCTAAAACGGTGATTACGGAATTTCGGCCCGAATTAGGCGCCATCCGATTCAAAGTCAATCTTGAACCCAATTTGAGGTTGAACTTTGTGATTTGTCGGTCTCGCGAGGATTGTAAATCTGCGGGAAAGTGATGACATGTACACTTGAAGTTGAACTAGACTCAACTAGTACATACTCGGAAATTCCCTCGAGTTTAAGAAGTGATTCTATTGAGAAACAGTTCGCATTCAACAGACATGCTGCATCGAGTACATTTTATCGGTTAACCGAGCTCGAGGGAAAAGCTGAGCCCCTGTCCCAAAGCGGAACACTACCGCCCTTACATAAGATATCGGGCCGAATGAGGAAATACAAATATTTGCTCCGAATCTCTTGCTCATTGTCAATTGTCGCAAAGCGGGCTGCACGGCACCTCGAACTAGAGATATACTTACCCCCTCAGGATGAGACGCAAGGCGGACGAGGGCCCGAAGGGACAAAAATGTCGCACAGTGATTTCAACGCGATAATCGATAATCAATGGTGCGGAGTACGGACGGATCCGAACTGGAGCAGCCTAATTACGCCCAGCTGGAGTAAAAGATGATTCGACCCAGGTTCGAACTGAGGACCGCCTGTGTACACCGTAGAAGAACGGTTATTGCGCCGTCGTCGTTCGGATGTTAGACAGAAGTGATAACCAACTACACCATCGAACCGATGGAAAGTGAGCTTTTCTGACGGATGGGTCGCGTGTGGTGCAGAAAAAGCGGCGGGAGCTAGGAATGAATGTTGAAGTTGAACGAGATCGGGAGATTTTGGATAAGTCGAACCTACCATGAGTACAATGTTTTCAGGAACAAGTTGAGCACATTGCTCCTCAGTAGAAGATCTGGAGCTCATGCAGCCGAGAAGCAAGAGCCCGCAAGGTTAAAAAGCCGGAAGCGATGATGGAAATTGCCTTCTACCATACAATTGATTCAAACGCAGCGAGGAGTTCCAGTTCCTTTCGTTATTTCAGTTTTGAAGAATCCTACGTGCGCCACTCACCGCGGATGTGATTGGAACTTCGCCGATCTACCTGCGGTTTGCTGATGGCATATCGGCGAGGAAACTGGCAAAGAATTCAGCTCATGCCTATAGTGCTTCAGCTAGTGTGTCGCAACAACACCAAACTTTTTTGACCACCAGGGATGGCCTTGGATTTGAAATCGTGCATTGGAATCCGTGTCTTCGAGGATCGTCCCCCACTCTACTGATCCACGCATTAAAACTAACCACAAATCATGACCCAAAGGAATGCTACCACCGCCGCCGTAGTCCACGCTGCCCGCTCTAAAATCACTCACCGCCACCCCGAGTCACTACCAAAGCGGAACCAGAGCTAGCGCTATGAATAACGTCGAGATACGTCCCTTGCGAGCCAATTTGTATTAAAGGTCTGATAACTTGCTGTTGATTTTTTCTACGCCCGGGGGTTAGTCGTACTTTTGTGAAATTGATCGACAATTCCCACGGTTGAACGTAAAATGATTCATTGCGAGCGAACCGAAGGCTAATCTGGCCCAGAGCTGTGCAAGGCCGGACACCAGCGACTATTATTCCACGTCGGAGAGGCAACAAAACAGGCGCCGTTTCAAACATCAATAGATGGACAACCAAGACACAGTGATACACTATGCTATGGAGTCCATAGTCACAATGGCGACAACTGTTAATGGGTCAGCGCTGTGGGGAGAATGAATTGAGAGGAGGCTTTTCTGGTTCTTCCCGGCTTACTCACCGGCTAGCTAACAGCGAGATACACATCTGAAAGTGTCGACGCGGTCCCCGAAATTACGCTGAGTGAGATCAAACGTTCCCGGCCCGATCACTGTGGTATACGCGACGGCGGTGGCCTCAATGCAGCTGTGGTCTCCAGTACTGGAATGCATTCAGTCTTGACTCTTTTTCAGGCTCTTGAGCCGCGCAATTGCAAGCACTCACTCGAAGAAGTTGCACACTACGTTGGGAGGAATTCGCACACTGTCCATATTGTTGACCTGGCGCGCGGGCACGCTCATGCAGTAATTGTGGGTGAAAATCATATTGTCGCATTCGCCCGTGAGGCCGCGGCCCTGGCACCCGTATATACTGAAAATGTCCTGTGCACAAAGACAACTGGTCAGTGCCTGGTGAAATACATGCGATACCTGAATCGATGCACTCACGCGATTGGGGATGGACGTCAAATTGCCGGCGAGGGAAGCTTCGGAGGTAGCGCTGGTCATAGCGGCCGAGGCCACCATGGAGGCAATGATAAGAGCCGTAAAACGAGTTGAAATCATGGAAGAAACCTGGGGCGTGAACAGGGGACACGGGCCTGGGTGTGGTCCAATATTTATATCCTGGACCTGATTCCGAAACGTCTACAAGCGGGTTCTGAGGGCTTGAATCGGAGAGCTTTTGCGCCGGGGACCGCTGGCCTGAGTTCAATCAGATGGATAGGGGGTGTCCTAGAATGCCGAGGAAATTGAATGGAACCCCACGAAGTCCAAATCTAATACCACGCAGTCTCGGGTGGGAAGATGCCAGCAAGGGAGCGGGGGAACATTGCGAACGTGACCATTTTCGACACTTCGAGTGAGTTGACTATTTGAGCGTTCGCGATCCCCACAGAAGAATTTGCTTCAATCATTTAATCACAGTACTTGGGGAACGATGAGGTGCAAGTTGGAGGGGAAAGCGGTGAGAGGGAGAGAAAATAAAAACGGAGAAGGCGTCCAGTCCCGAAGCGTTTGCGAAGCAGCATCCACGGTGCCGAAATGAAGGAAAGCATAGCTTAAGGGGAGATACGGAGCTTTGAGGATGGCTGGCAGTCGATACCAGGATGGAAGAGAAAGAGAACCGACGATCCGATGGATCCTGGGTGGATAGCGGGACGCGGCGATGCACTAGCTATAGGGAAGCATGCCGCACTTCGAAGAAGAAGAAGCGAATGGAAAGAGCGGTTGGAAATCCTGCGCATGGGTTCCAAGGCGCCAGATGTGCGGTGGGAGTGCGATACCTCCGGGAGTTGGTTTAAACGCAGCGCAAGAGATGGTGTGGAATTCAAGAATTGAGGAGAACTCGGAATAGTCCTTATCATGTGCTTCGTTGAAATTTCCCTTATTCGACACAAGCGGTAGTCCGAGCCATTGGATCGTGTTCTCAAGTTGCATCTTTAGGGGAAAGGTCTCCAGCTGGACGGTTGACGAGTTGATTTTGCACCGCCAGAGGATCCCCTTGAACGGGGAGAGATTGCGGTTTGTCGCGTCGTCAATATCTTGGCGATTCAGTCGTGATCAGGGCAAGACAACTGCCTGCGAGTTCAATTGCAAGCTTGAACCAGGTACGCAGGATAATGCTTTCTAGCCAGCTTAAGTCTACATGCTAACAGCAGCGAGTTTAAGTAAGCCCTCCAGTTTAGAAGCAAGGGGTTGTCTGTGCTGTGACATATCGAAATGGACTAGTGTAAGAAAGGGGCATACTACAAGAGGTTGAAATTAATTGGGGGTCCTCCGGGTAACCTTGAGAAGGCGAGCGAGCCGAGATTGTTTTCCGGTCGACTACAGTCGGGATGAAGGAAACGCTGCAAGGAGCCGCTAGCTGTGATTGAACGGCGACAAGTTTGAAAGAAAGGCGACAGCGAGGAAGGTAACGGTTCCGAAAGATTGGGGAGAGGGATGCTTGGGGCATGCTACTAGAGCTGCTACTAGTACATATTAGGCGAGGCTTACTCCGCGAAATGCGACAGAGTCAAACAGAATGGGCGACGTGCAGCGCCCAAGGATTTGAAAGGATGCGAGATGGGGCCGACCCGCAGTCTCGCCAGGTTCGGTCTGGTTCGGCCAGGTTGAACAGCAGAGTCTAAAATAAAGGTGTTCAAGCCGCTAAAGAAAGCTGGAAAGGATTTCGAGTAAAACGTGCACATTTCCCATGGTCGTCGCAATGATGCGAGCCAAGCCAACTCGGCTCTCTTGAGTATACCAAGTCCTGAAGTTGCGGATCATCACCAAGTTGTCGCTGTTTGAGCGCTTGATCCCCGCTGCTCGCCGCGGGGTCGTCGCAATGACCGTCTCGCCGAGCTCCCCAGGACCGCAATGGCCCAGACTGAGAATGCCCACGAGGATTCCCCAAGTGACCATACGTCGGAATACACGGGCTCATTGCGGAGACCCGAAGCGAATCGACTTGGTTGCCGATCTGCAACATGTTGCGCGTGTTTCATCTAATTCGATGAATGTCGGGTGGAGTCAGTGGAGCACGGATTTTCTGCTATCCCCGATTTCCCCGGTCAAAGAGGGTTGGTTCGTTCAAAGGACTGTAAAATTTACGAGTCGCTAAGTACAAAGGCACCAGAGAAGGGAAAACTCACAGTGAAACGCTCAGAAGCGTACCAATCATAATCCAGGGCGATCGAGAAATGATCAATTGAAACTGCCAACGTTTCCTGTGAGGATCTCTATCTGATGATGGTCGTTAGCGGGCACTGCATCCGTTTCCTTATAAGCCACTGAGACTCGGGGCGTCCTTAGGCACTTCCTTACCTCCCTTCTTTCATCACATCTTTTTCTTCTCGAGCCCGGAGCTCCCTCGCATTACTTGTCCAACACACTCATTCCCCCACGCACCCACATATCATCATCATGAAGTCCTTCAGCATCGTGTCCGTCCTCGCCCTCGCCACCTTCGTCGCGGCGCAGGCCAACGGCGGCCCCAAATTCGACCCCGCAGGCACCGGCAACGTCGGTAACGGCGCCGGCAAGCAGTTCATCGGTGGCCAATGTCTCAGCGCCGCCGACTGCGGCTCCGGCTGCTGCGCGGGCCCCTCGGGCATCTGCTCGGGCGTCGGTGCTCAGACCCAGGCTGGCAAGACCGGCTGTGGCTTCGGTGGAGGCGCAGCCGCCACTTCCCCCGCCGCTGCCGCCCCCGTCGCCGCTGCTCCCGCCGCAGCCGCCCCCGCCGCCGCATCTGCGGGCGGCCCCGCTTTCGACCCCGCAGGCGCGGGCAACGTCGGCAACGCCGCCGGCAAGCAATTCATCGGCGGGCAGTGCCTCAGCGGCGCTGACTGCGGCTCCGGCTGCTGCGCGGGCCCCTCTGGCATCTGCTCTGGCCCCGGCGCGCAACTCCAGGCAGGCAAGACCGGCTGTGGCTTCGGTGGAGGCGCCGCCGCCCCCGCTGCTGCCCCTGCTGCTGCTGCACCCGCCGCCGCACCCGCTGTCGCTGGCACCAACGCCGCCGGTGGACCCCCCTTCGACCCCTCCGGTGTCAAGAACGTCGGCAACGGCAAGGGCGTCCAGTTCATTGGTGGACAGTGCCTCAGCGCCGCCGATTGCGGCTCGGGCTGCTGCGCGGGTCCCTCGGGTATCTGCTCTGGCGTCGGTGCGCAGACCCAGGCTGGCAAGACCGGGTGTGGCTTCGTTTCCAAGCGATTCGTTAGCCGCAAGCGCGCGCTCCTCGCCGACCTCCTGCAGTAGATGGATGATGGATAACGACCTGGGAGTTGGAGTTACTTTACTTAATGCGTATTTAACATGCGAAGCTGAAGAATGTGATGAATTTTGGATATCGTCTTTCTGTTGTGAACGCACCTGAGTATTGAGAAGCATCGTTAGTCTGTGTCGTCGTCGTGCTCCGCCTTCCTCGATACCGTGGGTGTCTCTCCCGAATTTCAAACCTATACCGCCGGTGCAAGCAA